AATGAAAGTTAACAAAGATGTAGACAGGCTTACGAAAAGGAAAGTTTTCTATGATAAGTATACAAATAAGTTTCCTAAGCCCTTACGATTCATATGTTAATTTATTAATTTCTTTTTAACAGTGCAGTGTAATTTGTAACTGCTGATAAGAAAACTAATTGACTTTCAAGAAAACACGCAGATTAAACTAACTGCAGTTAATTATTCATCGAAAATGAAAGATGAATGAATTTTTTTTTTTCTTTTGGCACTTTTTTATAGAAGTATTTTCAATTTTCCTGCGATTATTTGCAAAATGTTTGGAACTGTTCTACGCCTATTAATACTCGATCATATTACTGTGAACTGCGTCTATTTTGTGGTTCGCCAGTGATCACTTTCTTCAAAATGATTCCTGACTGCTAACCTAGTTACTCTGATGACTGCAATTGCTGTTCGAAATCAATAAAAAGAAAAATAATAGCTTTGTTAGCCCATGTACTTTTTTTTCCTTCGATAATATCTTCCTGGAGTTGATAAAATGACGAGTTTTTAGAGACTCGTTTGTCTGAAATCTCAATCATGCGAATTTCAAGATCCAATCATCAAAACTATCCATACTCACGTTTTCATGAGCATTCGTAGTGCATTTCGAAGTTACGATTATTAACACTAAACATACCAAGCGGGGTCAAATGACCCCTTTTCAAAATTTACTTTAAATAAAAATATATGTTTAAGAATTTTATTTGAAATCAGAAGTTATGTTACAAATTATTTCTTTTAATAAATTAAGAATTTCTTTCTAAAAATCAATGTTTATTCATAAGGGATCAAATGATCCCTTATGGTAAGATAGGTATATGTAAAATGCCGGTACGTTTAGTGTTAAGAGAACAACGTAATGAACGCGAACACTTTTGTGAATCGGTGAAGAAAACTCGATTGATCGTGGTGACAATCGTGGAAAATCCAATGATCTGCTGTCACGTGTCGAATCAACGATCAACGCGAGCAACGTGCTCCCTGTTGATTATCTACTCTCTCTCCACGGGTGGCCAGGTAGTAATTATGAAAGCGGCTGAACTGGCGCATCGATCGTAGTGCATCCACCGCTAATTACAATCTTCGACGCGTCGTAAATGTGACAGGATGTAATTAACTGAGTCCTTCCGTCAATCGAATACGAAAATCAACGGACCACCGATAATCTAGATCGTTTCATCGCGTTCTACCCCAAGAATTGTCGCGTTCGGTTCCAAAGCAAAGGCTCGACTGATGTTAACCCCAAGAGTTAATCAGAGGTCGACGTTCAGCTAGTTGTGTCTTCTACAGCGTCCTTTTCTTTTTATTTCGTAATGTATGTGTAACGTAATATGTGACGCGCGAGTCCGCAGAAAGGTTTCCTTCCTGTTGGCGGGCTTCACGTGCATAAATCGCTTGAATTCGCGCCGGGAGATCCCCTGGCTTTGTTGAAACAATACGCACGCTCAATTGGCCTGTTATGTAATTCACTGTTGTTGCTTGTAACATTGAGACTGCATCCAGATTGCATTCAATGTTCCCACTGGAATTTAATCGAAACGAAGAAGCATATGGGGAGAAAAGCGCGAGAATTTGACCTAAATTTAAATACTAAAATCTTATGATGAATTTGATATAGCAAATTCGTTGAAACGTGTTTTCGGTGTTATTCGGTGCAACAAAAATTGTATTTTTTCGAGGCACGAAGCTCCAGCCATTGTTCCTGGTTGGGCACATACATTTCCGCTGGCATGCGTTCCAATCCCGGGGATTCGGGTGATCCACGCTCGTTTGTCCTTCTGGCTGAACCATGAGACAGAGGGAAAAGTCATTTTTTATCAACTCGAAAGCAAGTTGCCCTAGTTTTATATTAATTCTATTTCATACTAAGCCTTTTCCGCATAGAAATTGCCTCGCCAGGATGTCGAAGGAGCAATCGTCCCACTCCTTCGCATCGTCGTAGCACTTCATTTTTCAACAATTGATCTCGTACATTCTGAGAAATGATGGGACAGTCTGTCACCCATTTCGATACGTATGCGAAGTCCGTGAGTAGTTGCAATGCACCACATTCACTAAAAAATATCTTCAGATATTTTATTGTGTCGTGTTTCTATTTCGTTTCTTATCAGCTTTCTTTTTTTTTTTAATCAAGAATAAAAACGTAAATTTACCTAAATTTAATACGATGCAGATAGATGTAATCCAACCACGCTTCACACATAATTTTCAGAATCATGTTCGATGTCTCAGGATCTTCGATAACTTCCAACACCGGGAGTAACACTTTCTCTGTGGAATAGATAGCTTTAAAGAATCAAACGTACGTGTAAAAGGGATTTTCTTACTAAAGTAAGGCTCCACATAAAGACTAGCGGCCACTGGAGCGACGTCGCTTCCTTTTCTCCAGTAACTCGATCGTGGAAAGCACATGTGCAAGTTCGCCAGACTGACCACACGACAGATTTTTGCCAGAATATCTATGCACTTTGCGGAACATTTCTATAAACAGATAACAGAATAAATAAAAACATAAGCTTTAAAGCTTTGCTTCCAAATCCACCGTCTACCTGGAGTAAATCTATGTTGAC